CAATCCGCCCAAAAGCCCGCTGGTTTTCATCGAGATCGCTATCCGTGACTGATGCCCGGAAAGCCATACCAGCGGGCAACGAGTAAGACGGCGCACGCAAATCCCTCAAACGCCAAATAGTGAAGAGTCTAAGGAAAGACCGAGAGCTCTAGTGGACATCGAAAGCTCGGGAGATGGAGAAGGCTTTTGCTACGGGAAACAGCCGTGCCCTTTATCAACTGATACGATTGACTGGCCCTAGGAAGGCAACGGTCAGGGAAACGATGAGTGAAAAAGATGGCTCATTGATTCACTCACAAAAACGTCGACTGGAAAGCTGGGCCGAACACTTCGAAGAGCAGTTCAGCTGGCCTCCTGCAAGACATCCTGTGGAGATAATGCATACAGGCGAATGGAATATAAAACTTGATAGTCTGTCGGAAGAAATAAAATGCGAAATATTCGCGCTAAAACGTGACAAGGCACCAAGACCGGACGGTCTATATCCAGTCCTCTTCAAAGAAGGCGAGGAATTCCTGGTGATCCACCTAACAAAGCTTATTGGTGCTATATGGAACGAAGAGAAGGTGCCTGCAGAATGGGGCATGTCGACAGTTATCCCTATCTTCAAAAAGGGCACACGGACGCTATGCGAAAACCACCGTGGCATCAGCCTGTTAGCTGTGGCATCGAAGGTGCTCTCTGGTCTTGTCCTTCGAAGTTTGACTGAACACAGGGAGACAGATCCATGAAAACCAAGCTGGGTTCCGTCATGCAAGATGATGTATCGATCATATCTTCCCCCCTCCGACAGATCCTGAAACAGCGATACTGCTTTCAGCAACCAACAGTGATTGTTTCTTGGTCTGAAAGCTGCCTTTGTGGACCGTCAGTGACAACGGCAGTGTCTGTGGAGCAAAGGTGTCCCCCATAAATTCTTGACCCAACTTAAGGCGCTGTACGCCGTGTGAAGGTCTACGGGAAGTTCTCGCTTGATGTCACCGCATCAAGTGGTGTCAGACAAGGCTATCCTCCTTCACCTTTCCTCTTCAACTTCGTCATTGATGCGATCATGGATGACTCACTACCAGACTCTAATGCGTGTGGGGTTGAAGAACCCCAGGAGCGTTCGCCCACGAATATCGAGTACACAGACGACATAGCTCTTCTTGGATTTGACTCCATGGTAATTCAAGCAATAGTAAATAATTTAAATAATTCTGCCTCGCGGTTCGGCATGCGCTTTACACCTGCAAAGTTGTCAGGGCGCGCCCAGACAGAAGAAAAAGCACATATGCACAGAGTGACGTATCCCCAAGGTCACCATCGGTACGACACGTCCGGAAAGTAGGTGAGTCGGCGGCTCCCACCAAACACGGCCTAGCAACACACGACCAGCGTAGTGGGCCTGAGAATGTTCACGACCGGAACATCACCATTGGCTGTACGGAGCGAACAAGTGAACGACCGTATTTGGCCAATTAGTCATCCTA